CGATATACTCGATAATATCAAATCGCACATCGTTAAAACAACAATTACGATATTATCGCAGACCATGCATATCGCACACCCCTATTCGATTTTTATAATGCATTGTCTTCTTATCGATTTTTGCATTTGTCTGAACTCTGAACAAAACAACAGTTTTATTGAAAATTCTCATTAATTCTCTGCCAGCAGGTGGAGCGTTTGGTAGAAATATAACGGTTTCCCCGGTAACGCTGTAAACAAAGCAGTGCAGCACCGGACTTTGAACGTGCAACTCTCGTGTTTATTTCATGAAATCATAGCCTTTTGAAGTTTAATCGTCACATTCAGCCATATCGCAATTCTGGTCTTTCCGTCCCCAAATTTAAGACCTCTTGAAATCATAATTAAGACTTTCTTGTACAATTTAAGACTTTTTAAGGCTTTAAATTTGATACAACTAAATTTAAGACTTTTAAAGACTTTAAGACCCGCGGAAACCCTGTAGTAAGGTCGTTGTTAAGTTAAGGTATGGGGTAGGATTAAGGGATATAAAATATGTTCATGGCATTAATATGTGCTTTATAAGTACTAATAAACAGCCCATATGCTAGTAATATGCATGTTAATAAGCAACTAGTTAATAGTGAAAAATGGTCCCTAAACTAAATTACATTATTCCAATTTATAATATTAGTCAATGCTAAACAAACCAAACATTAAACAAGTCAACAAATTATAATCATATATATAGTATTTATTTACACATTTTTCTATTTACATCTCTTTGAAAACGTAATTCTGTACACCGCTATTTAATTCAAGAACATTTTAGAACATTTCACTCACACCTCTTTTAAAATCCATTCTGACGTTTCTGTTTGAAGTCAAGAAGCTTGTTATCCAGAAAATCTCCCAGCACCCCACGTAGCTCGTACGGTAACTCCATGTTGTCCAGGCACTGAATGTCAGTTACAGTAAATTCCTTCAATTCTACAGCCTATCAAACAGGAGACCAGTAGAGCAGGAGTATATGTTGTCAAGGCAAATGTTCTGCTTTGCCACATCCTAAATGATCATGAATTTAAAATAAATATGTGATGTCATCAATCTCTAGAGTTAGGCACAACTTAACAGGCTCATGTAAACAGTATATAAAAAAAGAAGAATAAAAAAAAGCGGACTCATAGAATATATCTTGTACAAAAGGGAGGAAAATAGACTTATCAAGTGCAGTTTCACTTATATTTAGTTGTATGAACTGGCACAGAAATTAAAAAGCCTGATGACATGATTGAAGCAGTGCACAGTTCAAATACTGACAAAATGTCAAGTCAGAAGCTGATATCCCCAAACACATCTATTAATGACAGCATTGTACAGTCAGTACGGATTATTACATCGATATCAAAATGGGACGTCAACATGACAGGGCCATGAGCAACAGAGAAAGCAAAAAATTTAATCAGTTCTTCAGCTTGCATCTCCAGCTGCCTTTGTTCACTGAACCTGTGCCTCGCGAAACTCAAACAGCCAAAATAAGGCAAATTTTATTGACTCCATTGCAAAGCCTCATGGGCACTGTTCACATACAGAGACAAAATGAACACCCTACGAGTTCTGGCCACTTCCTGAGGTAGACCAAGGTTCAATTAAGTGTTCGTAGGCGCTGTTTAAGCCAAACGATCTTACTGTGAATGTTTATAAACCATGTTTTCTGAGTGATGTCTTATTATTGCCATGAATCAATTGGGCCAGCATCCATCCTACTGTTGCGGTTACTTCCTAGAATCCTGCAGTCTAAATGAACTTTGAAAAAAAAAAAAAAAAAAAAAGATTGGAAACGGTTGTGATTAAATTTAAAAAGAAAAGCATAAAACAACAAAAGAATACATTTAGTGTATTTCAAGAGTGCATGATTTTGACATCCGGGTGACTCATGGCATTCGGAGTGCTAATATTAGTAGAAATGAGGAAAAATTCCCGGAACAGCTGCAGACCATATCCCCACCTCCATAAATATGTCACGGTTTCAGTTCAATATCATTTCACAGACAGTTGCGCCTCCGAGGTCAGTAGGGCTCGTCATATTCGGTGACTGTGCTGGGCGAAGCCTCATCTTTTGTAATGGTTAGGGGCGTCTGCAAAGGCAAACTTCAGCCGGTAAGCTTCAGCTAGGAGAACGCTAACTTCCTCATTTCCCCAGTGCATTGTGGGTAGATTCTGGAGCAGAATCATCAGACCCTGTGGAGGATAAAGAGATTTTGTTAAAAAGGATAGTGTGCACAAACGCAACAACAATATACTTTGTCTAATCAACTAGAGGGTAGGTAGTCTGAACAACTAAATGACTAATTGTCGGTGTTAAGGAAGCCCTGTATTACTAGGCTGGGTCACAAACAGTGAGCAGGTATGTTTCTTAGTAGGGCTGGGTATTGAGACAAAATTTGATTCGATTTTGCTTCACATGCTTGAGATTTGACTCAATTTAGAACTCGATTCAATTCAATTCGCTAACTATTTATTTGGACATATAGCCAGTCAGCTACAGTGCATGAAAAATCTCTCAACAAATGCTGCAAACCATACAGTAAACCCTGTCAGGTGGTACAAATATTAGTGATTTGTAAACATAAATCAACATATTGCACATAATATTTTTATAGGAAAAAAAGATAAATAAGATTGAACAACTTTTTAATAATATAATTATGCTTCTACTTCAGTTTGTTGTTGATATATAAACACGTCATGACTTGTTTTCAGGATTTATTCAAACATACATTAAATACTGAAGAACAGGTTACGTAAAACAATGAATATCTAATATAGTGCATATATAAATAGTAAAATGATCCTTTCTAGAGTTCAATTTTACAGCTAACTATCGAAAGTCATTGATGATATGGTCATTGGAGGGTTTTCTGAGGTAAATGTAATGTTATGTGACATTGTTTACAAGCTGTTGTATTGACGTCTTTCTGGGATTGACACTTTAGAGCACATGTGGGCATATCTGGCACTTTCCTGAACAAGCTAACCAAGGTCTTCAAGATTACTAAAAAGTAGTGCTGTCAAAATTAGCGCGTTAACACATGCAATACATTTTTTTTCAGTTTAACACATTACAAATATTTAACGCACTTTTTTTTAACACACTTTTTTTCAATTAATGCGCACTCCAAGTTTGCCTCAGTGCCAAGCGTTAGTCAAACGAGCATGGAAAATGTACAGGTGACGTCGGAGCTTCAGTAGAACAACAGTCAACTGCAGTCAGATGAGATGTTGCCCGGCCATGTCAATAAAAACACATTTTCTTGTCCTGTCAGCAGCTATACTGTGCTCGTAGCACATGCCCTTCAATCGCACAAATGCGGCCGTGCGCGCTGTATATATTTTGATTGATTAATTTTTTTAATCGATTGACAGCACTACTAAAAAGCTACAGACATGTGAATAAGATCAAGGTTTGAGCTTATTTCTCCAGGAAAGTTGATATCAAGGGACAGAGTTGCCCAACCCTGTTTCAGAATTAGGTACACTGATCAGATGCATTTCTATGAAAATGATGGATGCTTTAGGGTCATGCCCATTTATCGGACATGTTTCTTAGAAATACAGCTAAAGAATAGGGGCGGGCAACTCTGGCCCTCAAGGTCCACTGTCCTGTAAAGTTTAACTCCAAACCTGATCAAAATACACCAGGGGCCGGTTGCATAAACCGTTTAGACTAGTCTTAAAAAGTTAGTCATCTAATTATTTTTCTTAAAGACTGGTCATAACTTTTTAAATTCAGTTATGACATGTTTCTTAGAAATACAGCTAAAGAATAGGGGCGGGCAACTCTGGCCCTCAAGGTCCACTGTCCTGTAAAGTTTAACTCCAAACCTGATCAAAATACACCAGGGGCCGGTTGCATAAACCGTTTAGACTAGTCTTAAAGTTAGTCATCTAATTCTTTTTCTTAAAGACTGGTCATAACTTTTTAAATTCAGTTATGAAAAGGTAGATTGGTCTTATTTGCATTGAAAAAGTAAGACTGATTACCCCTTGGTAACTGCTTGTTGGTCAAACTACTTATTTAGACACAGTCTTAACATGGAGGCTAAGTTTATGCAACTGGCCTCTGAAGCAGCTAACCATACATTTACAGGCAGGTATGCCTGTAAACTGGCTTACAAAATTTGTGAAAGGGGCATAATCAGCTAGTTGGCTGATGGAAGACAGCTGGGCATCCTAATGCACACACATCCCAGGAGGAAGTGTTGCGTAGGTAAACCACATGCCTTCACTTTGCTGGAAAGAGTCTTGCTTGGCATTTAGCAGACAAGAGAAGGCATCTTTGCACGGAATTGTTTATTTCTTTTTCTTCAGCGGGGTCAAGCCATGCTATCACAAAGCACCACCGTATCTCTCCAAATTATTATAACTTTCAATCACAGATTCTTCAACTGCTCAATCTTAAGTGTAGGGTGAAGAGAGTGAGCTGCCTGTCAAGCTGTGTGTTTCTCTTCTCGCTCGGTGCGGTCAGGACCTCGCCGGTGGAAGCCCATTTCTCTTAGGTATAGAAGGCCAAGTCTAATTCACTCAAGGCGGCGTCAGGCGGCTCCAGCAGGCCTCAGAGTCAATGACTGCATTAGAGCGGCTTAGAGCCTCAATCTCCCAGCCTAATTCACCTATCCTGCTGGCCCTGATGAAGGAGAATGAGAACGCTTAATACTCCATCATAGTGGGGTACAAGGGGGATGGATGGAAGTGAGAGAGGTAAAAGAGAAGGATACAGGAAAAAAAAAAAATTATAATAAAGAGAGCATCAAAGTTCTGCAAACATCTGATAGTTAATAAGCCAAATCCTGATTTGATTACTCATTCAATAACTAACAAGCATTTCAACTGAATACACTTAAAACTGCCATTATCTCCACATTTGGGATGAGTGTAATGAAAACAAACATGGATGAAAATCATCTGACATGTCTTATACGCAGTGCATGCTGCACAGAACAGCTGCAGTGTCTCAGAATTTCAAGCCGCAACACTTTAAGGCCCAAATACATCTGTGAAAAAAACATAAGTGTGTGAAGAAGATTGCTTCTAGCTAGACAAGCTTGATTTCCCACGTCACTGCATACTGGAACACGATTTGTAAGCCAATGCAAATGAGTGTTGCATTCTCAGTGTTGTCGCAAGTGGCACTAGGTGAGAAATTAAACTAAACAGTCTTCTTTGGCTCTGTCTCGAGCACAGATAATTAGACTAAGATTAAAAAGCAGATAAAAGCAGGGTAATAACAATATTGTTTGTATTACAAAAGTGTTGATTGGACTTTCATTTACCCCTCGTATGTATGATTCAAAGACTATGTAAATACAAAGAGTATATAATTCCCTGTGCAATTCCACAGGCACATGATTGAGGCATTTTATTAAATGCTACGAGTCGAGGGACAACACCAAAGGACAAAAGAGAAAAAAATAAATCTTCATGATGTCTAAAGTAGAGCTCTGATGCTTGAGTAATTAATGAGTATTACAATGCACAGTTGTGAATATGATTGCTGAAGAATTCAGAACGAATTTCACAATAGCATTTCTACACAGGCAAGCTTTAAGATGCTGTTAATCTTTAAAATATCTCCAATCCAATGAGATTTTCTGCATAATGTCCATGTTTTTATGGCAACACTTATGTAATGAATGATGTACTTCGTAATTGTTTTAGGGTATCTGATTATTTTAAGTACTTGAGCACAGTATAATATTCTATACTTACACTGCGATCAGTAACTACAGCTGTCAACTAGTGTTGTCAAAAGACACAGTACTTCGGTACCAAGTCGGTACTAAAAAAAATTAAATTTATTTGTGCTGTTTGACTTCCTTGAATAAACATGAGCAATGCACGTGTCAAAGTCGAAACCCGGTGCGGGTGTTTTTATATCACTGTATTTCTGAAGGAAACCGACTGTCTTCAGAAAATTATGGATGTCATTTTCATTTCATCTTGCTTGTAATGCCTGAGCAGTTTGTGAGCACAGCGCTTATTTGATTACAGCCGTTACCGAGGAAACCTCTATCTCTCCCGCACTACAAGCGCCTCCTGCTGGCAGAGAATGAATATGCATATATATGCCGCCACAAATAGAGTGCAAGTCTGTGGGAAACACTGCTTCTGTTATGAATATTATTCAATATTTTAATTTGAATGTCGGATTGAAATGAACATCGCTGTTATTAGAGTAGTTAATCGTTAGCATAAGCGCGGCTAACGCTAATATAATGAGCATTAGAATGAAGTTTCTTTATTAACTATTTAATGCTCCTATAACTTTTATATTGGTAAAAAAAAAACAGGAGGACATGATGATATTTACTATTTTTACACACCAGAGTAAAAATGAATTGTGAATCTAAAATATGCGTGTTAGAGAATGCACAAATGGTTAACATTGTTTGTGTCATATCAGTCAGAAAAGCAGTTCTGGGCTTTTTTTTATTTTTTAGCTAACTTAGTTGTCATTCTTGGCTGAATAACTCTAGAAGGTTTTCAAAAGCCCTTTAAAATTAAATATGTACACAGTTTGGATTAAATGAAAGTATAGTCAAATTTTTTAATTAGCATGTTTTTGTGTTTTGCTTTGGTACCGAAATTGGTACCGAGAACCGTGGATTTTCACTGGTATTGGTACCGAATACTGAAATTTTGGTACCGTGACAACACTAATATCAGCTATATTTAAAATGAAACCATCCATGTAATAGTCAAATCAAATACTAATCAACACAGTCATCTCAGACATTTTTTTTTTCTCGACAAATATTAGAGCTAATTACTTAGTAATGAGCCTAGCCTTATAATTGGAAATAAATGAGCGATATAAAGGATACACACAGCTAACCAATGTGATTGACTGGGGACTGTTAATTTTCATTGCATTTAGGGACTTCGTCTCTAGAGTATGTAAACAAACATCATAATGTTAGAAGCACAAGATATTGTATAGGTGCATTTCCAATCCCTTAAGCTTGAATTGCTCCAAAGGCAGGAAAATGTCTTATTATAGAGATTATATACAGATCAGAAGGACTAACTAACTGCATTACATTTTTATCACATAATTTTTCATAATAAATTGTACATTAACATATTAAATTGACAGCTCTAGTAATATAAGATTTCCATCATATCACAAACTATAACAAACATGGCCTAGCCTGAGGATTCTGTTATCTCAGAGTAAGAAG